TATAAGAAAATGACGGTACTGGGAAACTATGGGCGGGGGAGGGGGATGGGATTAACAGTAGCAAACATCTGTCTGGGGATGGGGAAACACCTCTTATCAACAGGGTGCCTGAATAAAACATAATTGTACACCTAACCCTTAACTGTACCCCACAAAACCATAATAAAAAATATTGATTAAAAAAAAAAAGAAAGTACGTGTTATCTATTAATTCAGTGATTTCTAACCAAAGGTCAACATCAGCGATGCCTGCCGAGATTTTCAGAATTCCTGGGCTTTAGCACGTCTTGCTGAAATCGGAATCACTGGATGAGGGCTCGGCATTTGTACTTTTTTTTTGAGTTGGAGTCTCACTCTGTCGCCCAGGCTGGAGTGCAGTGGCACACTCCTGGCCACCGCAGCCTCGACCTGCTGGGCTCCAGCAATCCTTCCCCCTCAGCCTTCCAAGTAGCCGGAACTACAGGCGTGTGCTACTCGCCCTGGCTAATTTTTTATTTATTGTAGAGACAAGGTCTCACCACGTTGCCCAGGCGGGTCCCCAACCTGCTGGCTCACACAGTCCATTCACCTCAGCCTCTCAAAGTGCTGGAATGACAGGTTGAGCCACCGAGCCCAGCTGGCATTTGTACTTTTACAAGTGATTCTGCTGCATATTTTAGTATAGCCCACTAATTAAGAATATTCAATATGCGCTTTTTTACAAAACTTTGCTCATTTTGAGACTTTTTGCCTTAGAACATGTTTTTTGTTGCTGCCTTTGTTGTCCGTCTCCATTTTGAACTCCTGTTCTCCTCCTGCCAGCTTCAGTGTCAGGGTGTGTTGAGGGGAGTTTCAGATTCAAAGAAGGCACCAAGTAGTGGCAGTTTGCTTTATTTCTAAAAGTCTGCTAATCTTTAAACATTTCATTTCTGTCTTACATGTTTTGAAACTGATTATAAATGGTGCCTTAAGAGACATGGCTCAAGCCGGGCTTGGTGGCTCAGCCTGTAATTACAGTGCTTTGGGAGGCTGAGGTGAGTGGATTGCCTGAGCCTGCGGGTTCGAGACCCACCTGGGCAACTTGACGAGATCTCATCTCTACAATAAATCAAAA